GCACACAGGCGTGTGTGTGGACATGTGTGTGTCCAGAAAATCTGAAAAGCTCATGTCATTGTCTGACCTCAGGGCAGCTGCAGAATCTGATGCATGTTTTATAAACCCTCCAGTTAACGTCTACATCAAATAAACAAACTCTCTACTCTTTATTACAGAGAGTTATTTTGTCACAATCACTGAATGAGTAGAAATGTCTAAATGACATATTTGATAACAGAACCATGCTATGAGTAAAACAACATATTCCCACCCCAGGTAATTAAACACAGTGATTCACAGTTGTCCTCAACACTCCACAGTAAGTGTGACTACAGCACCTAACAGTTTATACAAAACAGGAACAAATGAAGTTTTAGTTTGGATGTGTTCAAGTGATGCACTTTTTATTTTTACTGCTTTTGGTTTAAATGAGTCTCAGATGCAGTGATGGATCTGATCATTTAAAACAGTTTGGTTCCAACTAGTTTCAACAAAACAAGCTGTTTGTTGTTGGCATTGATCAGAACTTAGGTGTCATATCTGATTATTGAAATGAATGATGGAACACTAAGATGGTCCTACAAACAGCAGCACAGGGAAAGAGTGAGTGAGAGTGAGAGAAGAGGATAAAAGAAAGATATGAAAAACATGCAGATGGACAGAGAGGAGAAATGAAGATGAAATGGTAAATAATACCCAGCAAGCCACTTCATTTTATTACTTTCACCATTCCTATTGATTAAACTGAAATTTTCATTTAAAGTTTGAAATAAGCAGCAAAGCCTCTGGTTGAAACCACTGTGCCTCGGATCAATAGTCAGTGGATTAGAACTAAATAAGTGCGGTCGCAGAAATTCAAATATCGGATTTTGGAGCGTGTCGAGGGACTGCTGTGAATCAGATCTGAGAACGCCAAGGGCCAATGAGAAAGTCAAGAGAGCATGGAGGAAATAAAAAATGAAAGGAAAAAGACAAAAGCAGGGATGTTGGCTTTTAAAAAAACCTTTTATCATTTTTGTCCTTTTACATTTTCCATCAATGATATCTCTGCTTCTCTTTTAGTGACCTTTCACTTAGAAATATGGTGTCAGACTAGACAAGTCTGTGTTAATTATCTCTTTGTCTCAGTTCAGCTCTGAGGGGTCAACAGCTTCACATCATCGGCCCCCTGCCTGCTCTTACCTCTGAGGTCATGAGCAGCTTCACCTGCTTCAAACATTCATTGATTCTTTCCAGCTGTTGGTGCAGAGTTGAAGCTCTGATTTTATGGTTTCAGAGACTGATCACAGACAGAAGGAAGTGGAAACAGAAGGAAGGTTTACAGGAAGTGGAAAGAACAGGGACAGGAAGTGGGAATAGAAGGAAGGTTTACAGGAAGTGGGTACAACAACAGGGTGGAACAGAAATGTGAGTAAACCCCTCTGAGATAGCACGGTATTGTTAGCTCGTGCACATGCCTGAACATCTCGGTGGGGACTGAGGCCAGTACCGTGGGACCCACTGGTGTCACTTTGGTTTTTGGGATAGGGCTGATGATTAATGGACCACAGGCTCTGCAAACACTGGCTCTTTTCCACCTGCACTGCTGGTGTTTCAGTCTTTCTGTGCCAGGGCTCGCTCTCAGCTGCACACGGAAGCGTTGCTTGTGTGAATAAGACGGCTAAACCATAATCAGAGAGCAAGCAGAAAACAACTGTGAAACTGCTCCATTCATTAGGAAGTTCACACTGTTCAACACACCATCTGGTGCTGGCAGGATGGGGGCGCAAAGGAACAGAAGGAGGAAATGTGAGAAAACACAAGAAGTGAAAAACACTAAACATTAAGGAGTTGAAGCTGCAAAGAGGGAAGTTCGAACATGGCTGGAGGAGTAAATCAGGAAGAAAGACGGCACACAACGGAAGGACAAACCAGCAGCAGAGAGGTGAAGGAAAGCCAGAAGATACCAAAGAGGAGAAATTAGAAAAAAACATTTAGACGAGCGAAGAGAGACACAAGACAAAATAATTGAGAGTTGTTTTTTTTCCCAGCTATTAGACACGTCCGGCAGCCTGCTGAGGTAAGTCTGTAATCTGTCAGAGGGTTTTCCTTTGTGGGAGGAAACTCACCAGGTGGACGCGGTACATGATGCTGATTCCGAGGGTCATGAAAGGTTTGGAGAAGTCGATCACCTTTTCACGCTCAGCAGTGATGGTCAGACCTGCGACTGCCAGGTCCGCTTTCTGAAAGGAGAGAAGCATCACTTCATAAATACACACAGACAAACACTGATCCCAGATCAGAAGAATGACATCAAGTTAAACCTCTCAGAAAGAAGAGGAGGATGACATCAGAAAAACGGTTATTGGCTGCTAAAAGCCCAATAATGCTCTCATGTCCTTTAGACT